AATGTCTTTCAACTAGTTTATTATATGAGTTGATTCAAAGAAAGAAAATGAGTTACGCCAAAAAAAGAAAAGATTATTCTTTCTCAATGATTAATAAAAGGGTATTCTTTCTAAATACTGAAACACCCCCTCCCTTTTCAAATTGGACTTAGACCTCCCTTCTTAGATCCATAAATTGTTTTCTTTAATAGAAGAAGAAAAATGACTAATATACCCCTGAATTAAATGGGTCTAATAAATTGAGTGAAAGACTCAATCATCTACACCATTGGAATACTAAAAACTTGACTATCCATTATATTACTCTTGGGTTTCTCCAGCAAAAGATAGATGGATCAATTATCAGCACTTTTATAAGGAAATCATATGGGGAAATCAGTGTGATTTTCCTTGGTTTTCCAAAAAAAAAAAAATTCAATTCTTTTTTATCTATGGGAAAGTCAGAATGTGTTCTGGGTTTTACATTTTCATTGATTTTGTATTGTTTGAATGAAAACAGAATTGGAGAAATAGTTGCAGTTCCATATCACCGAACAAGAAAATGAATAGTATAAAACTGGTAAAATATCTAGTAGTCACTCCTTTCTTTTGCCTTCACCTGCTCAAAATAATTAATGGCATCATGTATTCGCCAGAGAACACGGAAGAACTCCTCCACCCTGCTCTGCTCTCCACAGCTATTTGCTTCCCTCCAGTGTTATCTTCACAAGCCCTACTTCTTTGTTTTCCTGCCGATTCATCTTATTCGATTACATTTTCCGTTATTTGTTTCCTTGCTCGCAAAGAGTTCTTATCAGCATGACTAGTTTTCTTCTTACATTTTATGTGGAGGAAGTTGCAAGAAAAGGGAAAGTTTTTGTTTACATTAGACACAACAAATTAAAGGGGAAAGTTTTCTTGAAGGAAAAATGGGTAATAATTTAATAAAGGGTAAAATTGTATTTTTCAAAGAACTGAAATTGCACATTATGTCATTCGCTAACAAATCTAAATATGATTAAATAATTAAATATGATTAATTAAAAAGATGATTAAATAGCAAAAGTCAAATCCAACACTCCATGCATCATACGTGTAATAAATTCTTTAAATGTTAGCAATATTAATTAATAGTATTTAATATAGCAGTTTATATTTTAAAACTTTACCTTATAAATAGTATTTCTTATTGGTATCTGTTAACAGTATAAAAGGACACGTGTTTGTAATTTTTATTTCCAGTGTTTCAATAATGTTCTAATAATTAACAGTAATTAACAGTAACATTTATTGACAAAATTTATCAAAATTATATTGATTAACATTATTTATTATGGTATTCATATAATTTAATTATGAATTTAATACTATTAAATATATATATATATATATATATGATTTTGATTAATGATTAACGTTAATTAATAATAATTAACATCAATTAAATTAGTTAGGTATTGAACTAAACCCAGCTTAAGTCATTAATGATAATTAATAACATTGTTAATAATAATTATTTAATATTCATATTTAATTCAATTCAGTTTCCAACAAACCCAGTTTTAATGTTATATTCACTAATTATATAACTTTATAAGTAGTTATACTTAATTAATAGAAATTACTTGCTGAAAATTACTGACTTTGGTTATTTAATTTCTGAATGTGTGCTAAAATAATTATTTAAATAAATGGTAACTGAAAATTACAAACTAATTAAAATATTAATAAATATAAATTCCACAATTAAAACATTGATAAATATTCACTAGAAAATTTATTTCAAGAAATATAAATTTATTTTCTTTACATGTACATTAATTTTGATATTAGAAGTAATTTTTTAGCAATAAGTTTATATTAATATTTTCAGTTATTTTGGCCAACTTTTACTGAAAATTTAATAATTAATTAAAATATTAATAAATATAAATTTCATAATTAAAAATTATTGATAACATTTCATTGGAAAATTTATTTCAGTAAAATTAAATTTATTTTTCTAACATTGACATTTTGATATTTTCAGTAATTTTGATCAATTTATTAAAAAATACTTTTGCTAATTTATTGTTTTTAAATATTATTATTACCACTACTGATATTAAAATCAGTAATTTAAATATTATAATTAATTCTATTATTAATATTCAGATTCATTAATATTGTTAATTATCAATTTAAAATTACTAACATTATCAATATATAATGAAGATTATTTAATATCAGTAAATATAATTAATAATATTATTAATTAATTAATAATGTTAATTAATCCAAAAAACCTCGCTTTAAATGTTATACTGATCAGTAATTAATATATTATTAACATTAGTGATTTTATAATCATTAATTGTATAACTTTGTAAATAGGAAATTTTAATTTATAGAAATTATTTGCAGAAAATTTCTGATTTTGGTACTTTAATTTCAGGAAGTGTGTGTAAATTACTTATTAAAATAAATGATTATGACTATTTAATAATTAATCAAAATATTAATTAATATAAATTTCACAATTATAAATTATTGATAAATTTTCATTTGAAATTTTAATTCATTAAATATAAATTTATTTCATTTTTACATTTACATTATTTTTTATGTTTCCAACAGACCCGGTTTTAATGTTATATTGATAATTAATTAATATATTATTAACATTAGTAATTTTATAATCACTAATTATATAACTTTATAAATAGCTGTATTTAATTATTAGAAATTCCTTGCTGAAAATTATTGAGTTCGGTTATTTAATTTCAGATTGTGTGCCTAAATTAATTATTTAAATAAATGATAACTTAAAAATTAATAATTAATTAAAATATTAATACATATAAATTCTATAATTAAAACTTATTGATACATATTCAATAGAAAAATCATTTCAATAAATATAAATTTATAGTCATTATATTTACATTAAGTTTGATATTATTAGTTATTTTTTCAGAAATTTTTGGTCAATTATTACTGAAATATTAAAATTTATTGATACATTTTCTTTGGAAAATTTATTTCAGTAAAATTAAATCTATTTTTTAACTCTGAAATTATTTTTGATATTATCAGTAACTTTTGAGCAATAAGTATTTATTGATATTTACAGTAATTTTGGTCAATTCATTAATAAGAAAACCACTTTTGGTAATTTCTTGTTTTCAATATTATCATTACCATTACTGATATTACAATCAGTAATTTTAATATTATAATTATTTCTGTTATTAATATTCAGATTCATTAATAATGTTAATTACTGGTTTGTAATTACTAACATTATTGATATATAATTAAGATTATTTAATATAAGTAATTATAATTACTAATATTATTTTTAGCAATTATTATATTATGAACATATTGATATTCAAATCATTAATATTAATATCTATATAATAATATCAGTAATAAGAGTAATTATTCCAGTAATAATATAAATTGTTAAATATAAGTAATTTATTTCAATAAATATAAATTTATTTTCTTTACACTTACATTAATTTTGATATGAGCAGTAATTTTTTAGCAATAAGTATATATAAATATTTTTAGTTATTTTGGCCAATTATTACTGGAAATTAATAATTAATTAAAATGTTAATAAATAGAAATTTCACAATTAAAAATTATTGATAAATTTTTCAATGGAAAATTTATTTTAGTAAAATTAAATTTATTTTTCTAACATTGACATTAATTTTGATATTATCAGTACTTTTTTAGCAATAAATAGTTGTTGATATTTTCAGTATTTTTTATCAATTTATTCAAAAAACCACTTCCGGTAATTTATTGTTTTCAATATTATCATTACCATTACTGATATTACAATCAGTAATTTTAATAATATAATTATTTCTGTTATTAATATTCAGATTCATTAATAATGTTAATTACTGGTTTGTAATTACTAACATTATTGATATATAATTAAGATTATTTAATATAAGTAATTATAATTAATAATATTATTTTTAAAATTAATATATTATGAACATTATTGATTTTCAAATCATTAATATTAATATCTATATTATAATATTAGTAATAAATGTAATTATTTCATTAATAATATAAAATTGTAAATAGGAAAATTTAATTACTAAATATTACTTGCTGAAAGTTATTGAGTTTGGTAATTTATTTATTTAACTCGATTTCGTTTCCATCAAATGTTAAGCCAAATCATTAATTTTTATTCGTAAACGAAAAATATGAATTAGAAAATCTATTATATAATAATTATACTCGATTGGAAAAAATATTTTACGTAAATATTTCAATAATTACAAATTTTGTTAATATTTTTACTATATAACAAAAACTTAGTACGGGGTCATTCACTAGTATGGATGGAAAGGGAGGTTTGGGCCCATTAACATCACTCACAAGGGAGGTCTAAGTCCATTTTTAAAGGTGAGGGGATGTTTTAGTATTTAGGAGAAACCTCAAGGGAGGTTTAAGCCTTTTACCCTTAATAAAATTTCATAGTGGTTACCCCTTGGTGAGAGTAAAGTCTAGGGCTTAAAAAATTACATTGAAAGAAGGAAAGGAAATTAACCTATCTTGTGCCACATGGATTTTGAACCACTGTTGACTCGGACGGTCTGATCATTAGGCTCAAGAACCATCCAGGCAATCGGTTCCATTTTAGCCCAAACCTGGTCCTTGGCCAAAACCGTTGAATCGGTCAACGATCCATTGACCCGGGCGGTCAAACCGTCAACCCATTCAATGGTTTTGGCCATTTTTTATTTTTTATTTTTTTTATTTTTTAAATTTTTGTTAGAACGGGCCATTCGTTCGAACCAGACAGTTGAATCGTTGACCCAAAAACAGGTGGCCAGAACGATTCCATTTTAGGATCATTTTTTAAAAACATGTTGTGCCATCAATTGGAAACTAATATTGACTAATAATAATTAATTTCATCTTAACCACTTAGTCTACATATATTATCTAAGAAGGAAAAAAAAATGTATTTTTCTACATTTTTCCTCTTATTTTCTCTAAAACTAAAAGTCTTCTTCAGGGAACAACTCCTCCTTTAGTGAAGGAGCTATCCATTGTATCTGAATGTAGGTAATCTCCCATAAATCATCACCATCCCTTTGCACCAAAATCTCCTTCTCTTTCATTGTTGTGATAATCTTCCTCAATAAATCAGGCACCATTACTTGCAACCTTGTTTCAACAATGTTTCCCAAGTCAGCCTTCATACATGTATCCATCCTTCTTAACACTCCTAACCAGAATGTCCTGAACCCCGATGTCAGCGATATTGGCTTCAAGAACTGCAAGAAAACCTCGGTCAAGAGCTCCATTGCTAACTTGAGTGTTCCGACCATGCTTCTGACCTCCTTCTCTGAGTTATCCCTCATTGTGTATTCGATTAACTTCTCATGTAGATCATCTACCATTGCAAATATGATGAGGTTGAAACAACTTGTGCAATTGGCCGGTGTGAAGCCTAAATCTTCTGCAAATGTAAAGCTTTTTTGTAGGGATAACACTGCATGATTTCTTATCTCCTCTCGTCGGACTAAACTAGTCTTTCTAAGGGAATCTGCTACTCTGAGGAACAAATTCATTGTGAAATTGAAAGAGTTGAGCGGTTTCATGTTATCCTCTAGAGAAGAGTTGCTTGAGCTACTTAAGCCGCTCCCAGGGTCAGAGTATCCACTTCGGCACCATTGAACCAACAAGCTCACAGAACTTGCCATCAAGTCTAGTATCTTCCAACTCTTTTCCAAAGGAATAATCTTGAGACAAGCGAATCCAAAAGCACACTCAATACAGGAGGCATAGTTAGTCCGTGACATGTGTGTTTCATCTGACATGAGCGTGATCAAAGCCTCGATTCCTTGATCATAGGTTTCAGGGAGTCTGCCTGCATATGATAACATGTGAAGAATTGTCTTCCATCCTACTGGAGTCTGTACAGTTGCAGGAAACTCTATGATAATCCTGCTCACGACATGTGTTATGTTCTCACAACATGTTTCCAAGATCTCTTTGTCAAGCTTAATCATCAATGCTATGGACTTGAAGATGAGCTCTTCAGATAGCTTTTCAGATTGGTAAGAAGAAAGGAGTTTGAGACAAACCTTCATAAGTCCTGCAATGGCCTTTTCTGCAAACGGGCAAGGGGAGAAAAGAGGGAATTGAGCAACCACGATAAGGTGGTCATGGAAAGAAGGCCAAAAGACTAAGAACCTGTGAATGTTGGCTAAAGTAATAGTGGTGATCAGATCCCAACAGAACTCAACAGTCTCTTCTTCTTCAACAGGTGTGCTAAACTTTTGGCCTTTCCCAGTAGCTGCAAATATGAGGGAGCGTCCAAGGTTCTGCAATGATTCCTCCGGCAAGCTTGAGCTACCACTGAAGATGTTTCCTATTCGGCATTGTTGGATTACTTTCAAGTTTTGTTCAAACTCACATCCTGGAAGTGTCAAAGAGTCTTCAGAACACTCCAAGGATAGGAAGTGTGAGAACCGTGTAATTAAGCCAGTCGTTGAAATTGTATTATCTGAAGGTGGAAGAATGACACCTGAGTCTATTTTGGCATTCGTTGCATAGTCAGTCGATGAAGTAATATTGTGTTCAACAACAGATTGTGGAAGTAGCTTTAACCTTTTTAGTTTTAACAGGCATTCCACAATGTTTCTCCATCCCCCTCGAATTGAGTTCCCAAACTTATTTCCGATGGTGAAGACGGCAAGAGTTGCCATCCTTGGCTTTAGGTCGTTACTGAAAGCATAAAGTGTCTCTTCTGCAGAGGCATAAGGATTTAGAAGTGTGGTGAATTTGCAGAAGGAAGCAATGAGTTCATCAAGAACGTCCCCCAATCCAAACTGTGCAATCCTTGCGACTGCAAATATCCCTTCAACGCATTCATGGAGGATTTCATCCTCATCGGATTGCTCAAAGGTTGCACAAATGGATGCAACTGCAGGTCCAGCGATGGTAGCAAACATATCTCTCCCAAGTCGGCGATCAAAATTACTTAGGATGAAGGGCTCCATGACTTTTGCCCGGTTGATTATGTCACTCCATTTTAGATCCATTTCTCCAGATGAACCTGATTGGCCAAACAATGTTATTTCATTGGTTGCAATTGATTGGAAGAGATCAGAGAGGTATTCTCTAGGGAGATCTTTCCCTCCATTGATGGCTCTATTGTTTCTAATGAATTCTTCTTCTGTCATCTTCTTCTTCACCTGTGGGTTGTGTTGGTCAGTGTTGAGCATAATGAGTGAGTAGCAAAGAATGAACACAGCATCCTTGCTCACGAAGAGTTCTGAGGATTGCTGATCGTAGAATTTCTCAGAGAATGCTTCGAGTATCCTGTGTATCTTTTGAGACTCTCCCGGTAACCGAAAAGTTTCAAGGAAAGTCCGAAGAGCAGTGTCAAGGATCATCCCAGAAAAGTCAAATGTTCCGGTGAATTCTTTGAGGACTTCAAGATGGAACTCATCAGGGTCACCAAGATAATCCCCAATGGTGTTCTTGTCTAATCCAGGAGTGTAGCGGTAGAAGTATGCAAAAGCCTTTGGATCTGGTGGCTCGGAGACCAAGTGTGCAACTTTCAAATACTCCAGCCCCTTCTTCTCGTCTCGATTGAAATGGTTAGCAGCGATCATTATCTTCCTTTTCTGTGCTTTCCTTACCCTCATGTATTCAATCCAAGTGTCTAAATCTTCATTTCTGTTGGATTTCTCTACCCAAAAAGGTATATACTCTGTAACCTCAACTGGATACGATCCAGCAGAGGTTGAACTTTCATCATCAACAATGTGATCGGCTATGTTCTGAATCATGATGATAAGGCCTTCAATGGCTTGGATTTGCAAACCATTCAATGAGCTGCCCTGTGGAAATGCATGCTTGCAAAGCAACTTCCCAACCTCTTCAAACACATTTCGACAGAGAGGATCACAATCATAATTCACATACATCTCAATTATGAACTTGGGGTGCCTGCAAAAACTTATAATTCCTTCGAGTGCAACTTCTTGAAGCTGAGGCAATGTTTCCTCGCTAGCAACTCTTAACAAAACAAATGTGAAGAAAGCTTCAAGTTGGAACCTGATATACCTGTAAAGTGGAAGTAGCTAAGGGTTTTACTTTCTTACTTACGAGTAGCTTTTTTTGTATAAATTAAAACAGTGGTTGAAATTCCTAATTGATTTTACCTGCGGAGAAAATGGTAGATGTTGAGAACAGTACTGCAGATTATAGACAAGAATAGTGGACTTGAACCTGTTCCATAGTGGATTAAAGAGTGGAACAGATTTTCTTGGATCATCCTAAGAATTTTTGGGTGCTTAGGAATTACCTCTCCACTCAATTCTATTGTGGAGTTGATCAAAACAAAGGCAAATAGCTGAAAATTGTCTTCGGAATTTGGAGTAGTGAGTCCCTCAGAATCCATCACTTCCACTACATTGAGTAAAGAGCACAAGAAATGGAAGATATCAGTTGCAGAACGGGCTCCGTAACCAGAATAATCCAAGTCGTAACCAAAATCTGCATCGTTGACATTTGACTCGTTCTTTCCATCTCGAACATCAAGCTCCTGTAATCGATTAAAAATTGTTTGGATCAATTCATACATTGTGTGTCTGGCATTTCGCTGGAGCAAATCCCCTCTACTGGCAGACTTCTGGACGACTTGGAAGCAGGTATTGACGATGGTGCATACAGCATGATCAGTGAGAAGAAACGAAATACGGTTCTTCATGATCCCTGACAAGAGCTGCAAAACTCTGGTAAGGATAATATCTTCGGATGTCGTGTCTATCATCTCGATTCGACAGTTCGTAACCGCAATGACAACAGCGTTAATGGCATCTCCAGCACCTGGAGTCTTCTCATCGAAGATATCAGAATTGAGAATCTTGAGGATTGTGAGGAGGGCAATACCTGTTGCCTGAATAGGAATGTCATCGCTTTGTATCACATCTAGGAACGGAGAGAGATAAATAGAGGGATCAATTAAGCGCCATTCCTGCTTTGGCTTGAAGAGTAATGCTCGTAGAGATTTCAAAGAATTAAACAACGAAGAATCATAATTCTCATCCAGGGAATTGGAGTCGGTGATACGCCGCAACACTGCTAGAACAGCATTAATTTCAGTGTTTAACATGCATGACAGCCCAAGCTCTTTCCTCTCGACTCTAGCGGGTTTCTTCCTTCTTTGTCGATATGATAAACGATCTTGCTCCTCTTCATCTTCTGCTTCCTGGGTTGGGTCTCTCGTTCTCGCCATTATTTCTATCTAGAAAGAAAAGAAATTAAGAAGCAAGAAATAACGCCATTTATTTCTTTTTTTGTGAAAAGTTTGAAAAACAGTTAGAGAATAATACTAGAAGTTGGGTGATGAGAATTTTGATTTTCAATAATCAAAATTTTCAAACATCAATACCTTTCTATTTTTATTATTATAGTTATTTATTCTTCTTCATTCTTGAGGAGTCGATGGGAAGTTCTTGGCTGGGTGTTACAGAAGATCTTTGACAAATTCAACTAACCGGTTTGTGAGGGAAGGTGTATGGATGAACGGAGTTGCTTAAGTTACGATGCAGTGGGTCTACACATGTCTCATTCACACCCTGTTTCTCGTGAAAGAATTTCAAAAGAAATACTCCTAGTTTTTGGATCTTGCTACTTTTTTTTCGAGAGAGAGAACAAAGGTCATCCAATGAAAAAGGGTAAGTTGGTCAACAAAGGTCATCCGATGCAAAAGGGAAAGTTGGTCAAGGGCCATTCCCCATTTTCACACTTGTATATTAACGAGTGGAGTTTGGATCTTTTGAATTATATACCCGAGTAATCGGTGAAGATGACCTAGATATATGTTTGTCACTTACTACATGAAAGGAGTACGAATATGGTCTAATATAATTCAGTAATATTAGATTAAGATCATTACTTGTAATTTGTATTTGTATATGATACATTAATTGTGACCTCCACACCTGCTTTTTTTCATTTATACATTAATTCTAAAACCCCTGTCACATAGGGGGAGAGGGAGGTTCCCTCTCTCTTCTAGAGAGAGTCTTTGTCTCTGGATTTTTAGAGGTTTCCTCACTTTTCTGAGAGAGTCTCCATCTCTAGATTTCCAGAGGTTCCTTCTCTCTCTTTTTTGAGAGAGTTTTCATCTCGATATTGTCTTCGGGTTTTTCTCTTCTTTTCATTTCAGCCGTTCATTTTCTTCCAACTTTCTTCCTTTCTTCTATGTTTTCTTCTTCCCTTCTCCCTATCCCCCACTCCTCTCTCTTCTTGATTAAATAGGTCCAATCCTCCATTCTCTTTCATTTCTTCTCCTTTTTTCTTCTTTTTCCTTGTTTTTTCTTTTGTTCTTTTTTGTAAGGATTTTAGTACAGGAGGCGAAATGTTGAGCAGTGGCCTTAATCGCTACTTTGATACATCATTGTGACTGCTTCCTTATTTTACTTCAACAGCACTTAAAATTCCGGGTGGATCTAGTTCCAATGATAACAAATTCAGCAATTACAATTCCGGGTGCTTAACATTTTAGTTGGTTCCAATTTTGGCGACAAGTTCCAGTTGATTCCGCTCCCGGCAATAACAGTTCCAGCAGTCTAAGTTCCGGGTGATTAAAGTTCCAATTGGTCCCACTTCCGGTGATAATAGTTCCGACAGTTACTTTTACCGGGTGGTTAAACGTCCAGTTGGTTCCAATTTCGGCGATAATAGTTCCGGCGGTTATAGTTCTACACTTTTAAAGTTCTAGTTAGTTCCAGTTCGTTAAAGTTCTGGCAGTTATGGTTCCAGATGGTTAAAGTTATGACGAATCGCTACTGTATTTATCCCTCTTTCGGTGGTTAGAGATGCACTCATTTATCTCTTCTGTTGGTAATTCTACCTGACCTTTTGTCTATTGCAGAGGTTCTTCATTTTCTCCTTTGATCCACTGTAAATATTTTGTTCTAGAGACTTGTATTCTTACTTGGTATTGTTACCACTTTTCTATTTTCATGTACTTTCTTGCTTGGTACTATGACGAATACTCTATATTCATGAATGAAATATGATATTTTGCCTTCAAAAAAAATATGCATGAACTTATGTAACGGGTGTTCCAATTCACCATAATTTGTCAATTCTTTTAGGGTCAAGGGTGTCTTAGGCCTATCCTTATTTTACATCAATTTACATGTATTGAACCAACCATTGTTTTTACATATTTGCATGTAATGCCTGCAACACCATAAGACATTTCTAAGTTGACTTAACAAAAGAACTTAATGAAAAACAGCTCATGTCAAAGAAATGTTAATGGTGAGATCCTAATTAAACATGAATTAGGATCACTAAATTTAGATGCTTTTTATTGGGGGATCTCACTAAATTTAGTAAGATCACATTTTCTTTTGTCTCATGGATAGGTTACTACGGTCCCTAGTGACTACATGAGGTTCTTTTAAGGAACTCACTAAATTTGGCAACTACTGTTGTTATTTCATACTTGCAATGAGGTTCTGCAATCTCCCTATTATCATACACCTATTCACTCTTTCATAGAAAATTACTAGTCGAAACTTGTGCGATGCACGAGATTTTTTAACCAAATTTCAAATTAGAGTTAATGGGCTTTTAAAGAGCCTTAGATATTTATATACACCGTACCACAAAATTTAATCACAAATATCCCCCATTTAACCCTTCATCACAATAAGATACTAATTTGGGTTATCTCATTGGCTAAGATATTCATTTCTTAAATGCCCTTGATCATACCATTTATGGACCAATCAAACCCCACTAAATGATCCAAGAGACCAATACCTCTAGAAACCCCATTGTCAGCACCTAATTTTTACTCAATTCGTCGTCAAAACCCAATTTACCCTGAACACCCGATCAGACCATTCCAATCCTTCTGAAGTACCTAAAAATCCCTGAACATCGTCATCAGACCTAGGACCTCCCAAAATATATACCCCTGAAATTTCAACCCAAGATTCCCCTCCGTTTATTCTTTTATCAAACTTAGCTTCCCTTTCAAACCCTCTCATTAGCCTAAAGCACTAACAACCAAAATCTCCTTGATGCTAACACCTATGAATCAATTAGATCATACAATTGAACCCTAGACACACCAAAAGCATCTACCCATAAGATTTTAACCTAAAATTCCCCTATTTACCCTAACATTAAACAAATATTCCATTTTGAATGCTTTTGTTGACCCAAATTTCCATGATTTTGGCCCTCCAAAATCAATCAAATGTTTCCATAAGATCCTAGACACCCTAAAAACCCTACCCACAAAAAGTTCAGCCCAAAATACCTTTGTTTGCCCCTTAGTTACACCAATATTCTATTTCAAAGCTTCGTATTGACTAGATCAAGTCCTTTCCAAATTTACCTAATCTCTACATAATTAGGCGAATTTGACCCTACCAATCAACCCATAGTGCTCATAAACACTACCTTACCAAATTTCAACAAAAACTTCCCTCATTTTTCCTCTAGCACACCAAAATTTTATTTCAAAGTTAATAAATTAACCGAATCACTACCCCCTCTTAGATCTGCCCAATCCGAGCCTATTTAGTCTAATCTAACCTCACCAATTGATTCAAAATGGCTAAAAACCCCACTTTGTAAAGTTCAGCCAAAAATACCCTCGTTTTCCCTCCATATAAAAAGATTTCATTTTGGTTAATCTCATTGGCTCGTACAAGCAAAACCACTGTATATACTCAAATCCATCTCCACCCTTCATTTTTTAAACCCAAAATACCCACCATTATATTAGAATTTTGTTTTGCCCTCCTTAGGTCCGAATTGACTAAAATAACCCTGAAGCTTACCAAAATACCTTAAATAAATAAATAAATAAATACTATAATTAATTATGATATTTTTGTTATTAATTACAGTATTTATTTAATTAATAAACAATATTTATGAAAATACTATTGATTAATTAATGGTATTTTTTATATAATTCATTGGTAATTCATTAATTTACTATCTTTTTATTAATTATGGTATTTAATTAAATAAATACCATAATTAATTAATAAATATTGTTAAATAATGTATTTCTAATACTGTTAATTGATTAAATAAATTAAAAAATTCGTTATAAGAGAGGGAGAAGGGAGTGATGAGGTGGCTTCATGATGGAGCAAGAAAGACTAAAATGAAGAGTGTTTCAGAGTTTTTGGTTGGGGTAAGGGAGAAAGCTAAAGCCATGATGTGGCATGTTTCTACTTTAGT